CAGAGACCCTGAGTACGTACAAAGCATATAAATTCTGATGAAACGTTTGATTTTTAGCTATGAACAATCAGTCTGTAATTGCAGTTTCTATGCGCCAAACTGCTTACCTGTATGTGTTTTCAGTAGAATCATAGAATAATCAGAATATTTCTGTTTCTAGAATCACAGAATCATAGAATAGGATCATGGAGTAGTTAGGGTTGGAAAGGACCTTAAGATCATCTAGTTCCAAACCCTCTGCCATGGGCAGGGACACCTCACATTAAACCATGCTACACAAGCCTTCATCCAACCTGGTCTTGAACACTGCCAGGGATGGAGCATTCACAACCACCCTGGCCAACTCATTCCAGTGCCTCACCACCCTAACAGGAAAGAACTTCCTCCTTATATTCAATCTAAACTTCCTCTGTTTAAGTTTCAACCCACTACCCCTTGTCATGTCACTACAGTCCCTGATGAAGAGTCCCTCCCCAGCATCCCTGTAGGCCCTCTTCAGATACTGGAAGGCTACTGTGAGGTCTCCACGCAGCCTTCTCTTCTCCAGCCTGAACAGCCCCAACTTTCTCAGCCTATCTTCATACGGGAGGTGCTCCAGTGCCCTGATCATTCTCATGGCCCTCCTCTGGACTTGTTCCAAAAGATCCATGTCCTTTTTACGTTGAGGACACCAGAACTGCACAAAATACTCCAACTGAGGTCCCCCAAGAGCGGGGTAGAGGGGCAGGATCACTTCCTTCAACCTCCTGGTTACACTCCTTTGATGCAGACCAGGATACGGTTGGCTTTCTGGGCTGTGAGCGCACACTGAAGCCAGCTCATGTTCATTTTCTCAAAGATCAACACCCCCAAGTCCTTCTCCGCAGGACTGCTCTGAATCTCTTCTCTGCTCAACCTGTGCCTGGGATTGCTCCAACCCAGGTGTAGGACCTTGCACTTGGCATGGTTAAACTTCATAAGGTTGGCATCAGCCCACCTCATAAGCGTGTCAAGGTCCCTCTGGATGGCATTCCTTCCCTCCAGCGTATCAACCCAAGCACACAGCTTGGTGTCATTGTCAAACTTGCTGAGGGCACACTCAATCCCACTGTCCATGTCACCAACAGAGATGTTGAACAAGATCGGTCCCAACACTGATCCCTGAGAGACACCACTCGTTACTGGTCTCCAGCTGAACATTGAGCCATTGACCACAACTCTTTGCATGCGGCCATCCAGCCAGCTCTTTATATACCAAGTGGTCCACCTATCAAATTGATGTCTCTCCACTTTAGAGACAAGAATGTCGTGTGGGACAGTGTTGAACTCTTTGCACAAGTCCAGGTAGATGACATCAACTGCTCTACCCCTGTCCATCAGTTCCATAGCCCCATCATAGAAGGCCACCAAATTGGTCAGGCAGGATTTTCCCTTAGTGAAGCCCTGCTGGCTGTCACCAAGCACCCTGCTGTTTTTCATGTGCCTTAGCATGCCTTCCAGGAAAATCTGCTCCAAGATTTTGCCAGTAATATTCACAATGTTGGCTTTAAAAATACACCTTGTGATTACATTAAATGTTCACAGTATTGTATGACTAAAACATTGAAGGGATCCAAACAGTACTTACCTAATTTGGGTGGCATGTATTGCATACAAATTACATCCTTCCTTGCTTAATCCCTAAAAAGCAAACTCCATGAATTATGTTAAGCCGTAATTTTTACAGGTGAAAACCCTGTCAAAACCCGTAACAGTAGGACAGACAAAGCTTGGTTGGATGCTGTTACTTACTTACAAGAGTATCAAAGGCTGTCGTACATTCTCATGGAGTATAGCAACAGCCATCTGCAAATTCTAGAGTTTCTAAATTTGCCTCTCTTAATGAAACATGTTTAAAACCTCTCAAATCTAACAGCACCACCAAAGAAACATTGCTATGTAAAAATAACACTACTATATCTCTATGCAGTTATAACACACTGTATCTACTATGCAAACAGCATATTGGTTTATCTTTCTTTCTTTGGACAGAAGAAAGAAAAGGTTGAGGGGGAGAAAATGCAGAAGAAATGCAGTAGCATACCAATGTACGTATCAATAAACAAGAGCTTGAACTCTGGAGCTAAGAAACCATAGAGCATAAGTTCTGTAGATGTCTGACCGACCTATGACAGAAATCAGAGAGTTGGGGTTTTTTTTGCTTTCTTCATTACCTTTGGATGGTGGCAGGTGAGTAAATAAGACCATCAAGATCTCCATTTACTGGGGCAAGAGTTCAAGGACAGCAAACATCAACCAAACACAAGTTTCTACAATCACACTATGTCTTGAAAAAAAAAATTCCTTAATTTTGGCCCATTGCCCAAAAAGGTATGTAAATCTCCAGTAGAAAGTTTAAATACAAATGGAATGAGTTCAAATAATTTCATTTTTTACACTGTCTAAAGCATTCATTCAAGAATTTACCATATCTTCAGGGCTTTGTAGTTTTTCTCGATTATTTCAAATAACAGTAGTTTCATCCCAAAATCTCCATGTACTGAGATAAAAAGGTCAAGCACCTACACCGAAACCCCCTGTGCACCACCTGAATCATAGTCTTTATTGGTCTGTTATCATATATTTGCCATTCAGACATATATACTGGTAGCAACCCACTGTAATGTGAAAATTTGAGCTGAGTGTAGAGATAGAAGTGCAGTTGAAAACACGCAAAGAGAGCAATCATTTAATCAATTCTTACTGTAGCCAGTTTTTCCATGTTTAAAGGGACACAACGCTACTGTCTTCCACTAATCAAAACCAAAACACATTATACAAAAGATACAGCCAGAAAGGAAGGAAAAGGGGGAGAGCATGACATACAGATAGGAAACACAGATACACAAACCACAGGTAGAGCCTTTAGCCAGGATTTTCCATCTTCAGCTACAGCAAGCAAAACAGCATCCGTCAACAACAGGAAAAGGCTTAATATGAGCATACAAACCACAGGGAGCTGGCTGAGTAACTGAATAATGGTTAGAGGTGAGCAACTGTCTCAGTACTTACACATTTTTTCCTCCATCGGAGGTGGAATATGATGATGCTGTAAGGTATCCATATTTCATTAAAAACACACATTTTTATCTAAGACCAGTCAAGCTGAAGCTGATCTGGCCCTTGGCATGATTCAGTCTAAAAGCACACTCATACAAGCAGCAAAAATCCCAAAGGTGAAGACTAGCAGCAAAGCAATGATGATTAGTAGCTATGCAATGTATTTTATTATGCTACTTATTATATATATATTTATTACGCTATAAGTAGCAAAGCAATGATGATCAGTAGAGAAAGGAGTGCAAGATCTTCCCTAGTATGTCTGCAGTCAGAAAGGGCCCTATTTCTAACTCACCCGCAGTGCCAGAGGACAAATATGAATTAAATAGTAAATTTGTTGGAAAACAACAAACAAAACCCCCACAACAAAAATGCTGCACAGAGCATAGTTACACATTTTTTTTAGCATTTCCCATGTTAAAACGTCAGAAGAAAAAGGTGTTTCTTACAACAGAAGTCTTTGTGGATGTGTGAAGTAAACTCTCATAGGTAGTATTTCAAGGTAGCAGTGCTACTTTGCTTCAGGTAACAACCCAAGCATCAAGTCTTTGTGTCACTCCATGTTTTATGTGATCCTGCAGCGTCTTGGAAATTAAATGTTGAGGGGACAGAAAGCAGTAATCAGCAGGCTATCAATACAACTGTAGCCAGAAAGGCTGGGGCAAACTCCTAGCAAAAGTAACCTGAGCTTTTATGCTAAGTTTATGACTCCCATTTATGCTGCACTGCTAAACACATATGCGCATTTTAAAAGTAACACAGAGTTAATTAAATTGAACTCTTTTGTACTTAAAGGAGGAACACATGAAATGTCTTTCACAAGAACTGCCCAGTCACAAATGTGCTGTTCCTCTTGCACAGCAGCATACTGTACTTGCTTAGGTCTTACACATATACTCTGCCTCCCCCTACACTTGATTGCCCTAGCTAGCCTACTGATTTATTTTCCATTCTATAACCCAGTGTCTCCTTTCTCTGTACAATGAATGCCAGAAAATGTCAACTCTCTCATTCTGCCAAGCATATCCTATGTAATATTTACACACATAAACAAACAATATATTACACTAAAAGGTGTATCAGAGACATTGGCAAAAGGGAAAGAGAAGCATTTCAGTTAAAGTAGGACAATACAGGCTGCATATCCAATTTTCTACGAAGTGACCTTAATCAAATGCTTTGGATTTTGCAGCATAAGTAAAACAGCAGTTCTCAGTAAAGCCTGTAAAGGATGACATACCTAAGACATTTCGGTAACTGACAAAATATGCCATTTCTAAAATGTTTATTAAGCATTTGCATAACATCAATATGGCTATAATTTCAGATTTATTAAAAACACAACACACACAGAGTTGTTATACAAAAAGCAGACATACCCACAACTGTAAGAAATAACAGCTTACTACCAGTGGAAAAGCATAAAGTTTCACATGGCTTGTTTTCTCTTAGGCAAAGAAGAAAAGTAACTTAATTCATCTAACCTAAAGACACGTCATCACCATGGCTAAATACAAGCAAACACAACTGACTACACTGTTGTCTTACCAATAAATATTTGTCATCTTCCATTCTCCCCACTCTCCTCCTAAATTAGTCACCATCTGCTTAATCTCAGCTGAGATCTCTGTATTTCACCTACTGCAAAATTAATGTTGTGTATAAAGACAGCTCTTCAGAGGCAAGGCAAGCTCTACTGCAGGGTAACAGGAAAAATGTCTCTACGTGGTTACAATAATTTGGATTTCACCATCTATTCAGAGTAAAGCAGCAAAAAAAGTTCAGTCATTTCCTGACCAGCAAAGCAAGTTACAGCAAAATACACATTCTATTAACTTTTAATTGCATTGCTTGCATACTGAAAAGCCCCAAAGGGAAGCATTTATTTCTAAAGCATAAAGAAGGGCACTGAAACTGCTTACCTCACTCAGCTCTGCAGGGGAGTCATTTCCATATTTCATAGCAACTCCAGAATTCATGATTAGACTTCTTAGGGCTCGATGACTTCTGCAGATTTTAATGCTTCAAAGCTTTGCTCAACTGATTCAATACTTTCTTTTCCAAATTTTTACGTCTGACACATTTTGCTCTATACAGCCATTTTTACTCCACACTGACAGTTTAAATTAACAATGCAAAACCTACTAAAAGAGCCAAACTGATTTTGACTTCACAGACAATCCATTGCTGCAAGAGACTTGCTAATACTGTGTTCAGATAATGCAGGGAAGGAACTGCTTGCCAGGATCCCAAGGCTGTCTTAGTCCATCTCCAAGGTGTGCTTCATCTCTGCTGTTTGTTCTGTGCTGCTGTTTTCCACAGCTCTGTTTAAGAGCATCTCCCAATGCCACGAATGTACACAGAAAAATTTGATGAGCTTCATGCAAATTCACAGAGAAATTAAAAAGAAAGTGCTGCTACAGCCTTCAAGGAGGGAGAACAGAAAAGAGAGAAAAGCTCCTCTATTTGAGATGAACCAATGCTGCACTTCACGCTAAAGTTTCCCCTGCCAGTGAGCCTGGAGTTTAAGTGGTTTATGATCAAACACAGCTGTCTTGCTGCTGGCTAAAGGGTGCATGGAAGGGGCGGTACTAAAGGAGAGTGTAAGTGGGAGGGAGACAGCTACAGAGAGTTCATTTTGGAGTTAGGCATCTTTCCAGCTTTCTGCATGCTAACTACTATACACAACACTATAAAGCTAAGTAAACGAAATGACACCTGGATAACAATAAATTGGATTCCTATTCCCATGTGCAATTAGGAAAGTTGGGGGATTTATGGGGATGGGGGTTGTAACAATTTCAAAAGGTCACAGTAAGCCCAAAAGCACCGTTAGAAAGCTGCAGATTTTATATAACACACTGACATTTTACAAAGATTTTGGGGAGATGCTACAGGAGGAAGGGGAGAAAAAAACATTCAGTATTCAACTAATAATCTGGGAAAATCCTTAACAAGCTGGCTTTGTGGACATGCTGCACCCACTATAAGAACAGACAACCTCCCTTCCCCTTCCTTTTATCCCCTAAAACCATGACAGCCCCACACTTCATAACGCCAGATTATGATGTACTTTTGGAGCTAGATGTAGGAAATACCATACTCTGCAGCCGAAATTTACCTGATCATCTTAATACAACGTATTACTAAAGTGCCTAGTGAGTTAAAAGAAAAAAACAACTTTGAGACACAGGAATAAATACTATGCAAGCTGTGGCACAATTCTACTGGGAAAAAAAACAAACGAAAAAACATTACCATGGGAAACAATGCTCTCCGAGACCAACATTTTGAAAATCACTTTGTGGTATTTTTTTTTTTTTTTTATTCTTGTTAATTACAGATTAACATCAGTATGCAGACACAGGGATAATTCATCCAAATGACAATACAGAAAGTGCATTAAAGAACAAGAACCAAGATAAACACCTGTCTACTGCTCTATCATACTAAAAAGCAGTAGGACTTTCTGGGTCCCTGTTCTTCCTCCATGACCACCATCAGGAACTCTCCCCTGGCACAGGAGGAAAAGGGAATTACACAATCTCTTCATAAGACTTTTTACTTTCATTCTCCATGTCCATTTTCCAGCCTTTCCTTTCTGTTTTGTTGTTTGTTTGTTTGTTTTTTTCCTGTTCTCCAATTCGCTTTCTAGTAGTCTGTATTTTTGGGTTTCCCTTCCTCTTTTCATGCCCTCCTTGCATTGCCTCCATTCTTCATTATTTTCCTCCTTGAGAGAATCCTCTCTGCCTCATCTTTACAATTCAGTTCTGTCGCTACGCTTAGTGCTTCTCTGTGTGTTTTCCCCTACTCATCCGCTTTGTTCCCCACATATGTTTCCGTTTATCGCCCCTCACAGACCGGCAGCGGGCTGCACTGCTCTCTGGTGGCAGACGGCTGCTCTCTCAGACACAGCATATAACACTTCCACGCTGGGACGAACTGCTTCCCCTCTCCAGTGGGCAGGAAGCCAGAAAGACAAGACTGCAGCATGGAACAGCATATCCACAACAGTTTTGATCAACAGTGTTTTATACCCAGGAACATAGGTACTGTATAATGACTTACCTCATATTTCATACATGATTAAAAAAGCAGCTTCAGTTCAAGAACTCCTGCAGCTGACACAGTACGTTTAAAAATGTTTTACCAAGTTATGCTTTCACCAACGGGAGGGTGATAAAAGCTTCTGTACTTTGCATCATTACCCTTACCAACTTTTAGATTACATTGTATAATCTGTTTAGAATCTTATCTGATCTTTGTCCAATTCCGTCACATGTATCACAGGTTCACCAACACAGGGATGAGTCTCAGAATTAGTTAAGAATAAAGTTCTATGTTTTCCTTTCCTAAAATAAATGCCATATTAACTATGGCCTCAATATACTGCATTTCCTCTACTATACCCCTATGTTGCCAAATAGTTCCCAGATGACTATAAACAGGCATTCAGAAATTAAAAGTCTTTATTTGCTTTCCCCACTCAACATTCTTGTCCATTCCTGGCAGACTAGCCATCAGACAAACCACATGATACTATAGATGCATCCCAAACATAATGGTGCAGGACAATCAAAATCTATACCCAGATACATGTGGTCATATACCCAGATGCTGCACAGGAATTTTTTCTTCCTCCTTCAATAACTGTTTATGTTACTCCATACAGTAATATGGTGGAAAGAGACAGATCCTGACTGAAAACAATAGCAGAATTCATAGTTTCAGATGTGCACAGAAACATAGGAGATACATGCAGATATTTTCAGAACAAAGATTATTTATAATTTAAAAAATAATTGCAACACACACACACACACACACACAAAAAGACACAAGAAAAAAGTTAAACCAAATTCTGGTGAAAAAAATTATTTTACTTTAACCCAAGTTGACTCCCATTCCAATCTCTGCACGGAGTGTTACGGGATTACACATTTAATTCAGAATCAACTCTTAACTAACCTCTAAGTACTGGCACTGCTTGTTTCAATGTCTTGGTAAACTCTGAGGGCATTTCTTTATTGTGGAGGGCTAGCTAAGACTAAATGTAATAATTCTTCTCAAATAGCCTTATTTTACTAACTGAATGAAAACATTACATCACAAAATTTCCAGAAAGACTTGAACAACTGTCTCCATGCACTTCCACTGTTTTCAAATACATGTAAGTGACCTAACATAGTAGCAGGATCCAAAGAACTTTGTTGAAGCTGAAGTGTATTTTCCCATTGACTTGTCCCAAAGTCAGGCTTCAAAGAAAACAAAGGAAAATCTCAGGTATGCCAATTTTGCACTGCCAGGAAAAGAAGAGAGTACCCTGTGATCCAGCAAGAGAAAGGTGCCAGCTGGACGCAGTCTCTCTTCTTTTTCCGTTTGGCAGCTGACTGTTCATTCTTGCTTTCCCTGACCCAGTTCCTCACCTAGAAAAGTGATGTTCCCTTTCCCTCAATCTTATGCTTATCTCTTTTTTATCCTCTACACTTAAGGAGGGGGTTGGCATGGCATGCGGATGGGAAAAGAAATCTCTTAATCCACATTTCTTAGCCCAAGAGGACACGGTCTCAGCGGACACCTCAGTGTGTACTACAATTCAAACAAAAGGAAGTTGGGCTTCCACTCAATCTCAGTGCATTCTGATCAATTACTGCATTTATACCTCTAAAGCACTCATGATGCATACTGCTTGTAGCTAAATGCATCTGCACTGACAGATTCTTCCCAAGGTAATTTCAGAATTATCTAGCAGCAACCATTAGGGTGGTCAGTTTGCTGACTGTGGGTCTAATGACCCTATGGCCACTCTATTCCATTTGTTTACTTTTATGAAAATGTAGTAAAAGAATCATCAACATGCACTCAGGATTCACTGAGGAGTCTACCTTTTAAGTGACTAATCATTTACTAAGATTTACTAGATCATCTGGTATAAAAGGATTATTTTTGGACAAGATGCAATTCTCTTGCCCTCCTCACCTTTGACTTCTGAAACTGCTACACAGAATGGAAGAAGTTAGCACTGTAGTTATTTTACAAGGTTTCTCCCTCATAGTATGTCTGCGTAATTACAATACTCTATTTCTTAACAGTCATTGCAGCAGGTCTGACAATTGCCACACATGAATGTTTCTTCCTAGTTTTGACAGCTGTGGAGTGAAAAATACAACATAAAAGCAATTATCTATTAAGTATGTATGTATCACATATTCTTCAGCATAGAGTGCACCTCTTTCTGAGGAGCAGTTTCACTCCACACACAATATGCACATTTAGCTGATCACTAGTTCCAAATGTATGAGGTAAGGCCTTCTGGGTTGGTTCTGTTTAATTAGCACTATAATTGAAATGCAACTAATTGAAGTCCATTGAGCATTTAGCTTGTTTGCGTTTGTTTCAGTATCATCTCTACAGTTAGAGCAGCACTCTGCACAGTCCTCCACACAATAAATGACACCTATAAATATCGCAAATTGACTACACACAGTTTGAATGCAACATGGTTTTGTTTTCACTCTGGAACAGAATATACTGGTGTAAAGTCTAAATTTCCATGGAGAAAAGAGTAGCAAGAAGACTAAACTTGGAAGCAGAAATTCAATACAGTAGCTGGATAATGCTTCCAGAAAATTCTGTATTCAGTAGCACTAATGCACTATCATTTAAAAGACAGTCTGAAAGGGATGCTAAATTCTTCTTGATGCAAACTGTTCTCATTAATGCAAGTGAGGATTATGCACCTAGCTTGAGAGAAGAAAAATCCAACTCATTTGAAACAATTGCAGGTAACCTTATACTGAAGAATCAAGCACTCTCTGAAAAAAACACAAGCAAACTTCTTTCCTTCAATCACAACATCTAAAACAGATAACATGTCTAGAATAATGTCATTTCAAAATAGCACTTCAGCTACTCTCACCTGTTCACTGTTCCTCAAATACTTAACCCACTTTAAAAGTCACATCCTTGACCTGATCAGTCTCGTTGGGAGTTCACATTTGATGTCTTTTTCCATCCTCCAGTATTTCATGCCATGAAGCCATTCACCAACCTGTCAAACAGCCACTTCCACTTTCTGTCATTTTATTAAAACCCATACATTTTGATTCCCTCTGACCCCACAGAGCCTTAGCATCAGGTCAGGACAGGAGAACCAGGGAGTGCCTGTTAACTCGCTTTAGAGACTTGTGTGTGACAACAAAAGGGGAGACAGTAGCAATTGGTATGCTCCTTTCATGTTGCAGCCACCTAATCATCATCGCTGTTCATTTGTTCCTTGCTTATAAACACAAACAAGGCTATTCTGTAAAACACAATTCCTGTCATGATAGTTCTGCTCAACTTCCCTTCATTGTCCTGCATTCCCTCAGTTCAGTCATGCACTCCTCCAGTTATTAACCACAAGGTAAATAAAGTCACTTCACTTCCAGTCCCTTCATTCTTGGTAGCTAACTTGTATTCCCTCATGTTTAGCAGCTGTGAACTGAAATCCTTTCAAAAATTACCACCTGCATAAGAAAGATCTAGCTTTTAACTGTCCCCTGCTAAGTCTCTCCTATTTTTCCCAATCCCTGATAGTTAATTTCCTCACTTAGATTTTCTCCTTACTCCTAAATGCTCTTGGGTTTATATCTTCTCCTTCATACACTCTCCTTTCCGGCTCCAGTCCCCACTCCACAGGCATGATCTTGTCTCTTCAAACATTCAGCAACCCAATTCATCAGCTGCCCAA